AACTTTAGATTTTTTTTGTGTTGATAGTTATGCTTTCAAAAAATACATGTTTTTACCTTTTAAATTATTAATATCATATAACTTTAACATAGGCGTTGTCGTCATTTGCTCACATCTTGACCTACTGTTCCAGGTTCTCGTAAATTAAGCTGAGGTCAAGCTGCACTTCATGAATCTAGTTGCTCTCTAAGAACATACATATTTTATATGCGTTTGTAGATAAATCTTAAGAATAAACTACATTTTTATTACGAATATTTAATGCGACATAGTAATGATAATAACACATCCAGCGCTCTATTAATCTATTAGTTATGAAACTTACTAATATTATAAATGCGAATGTTTGAATGGATGGATGTATGTTTGTTTGAAGGTATCTCCGGAACGGCTAAACAGATTATAATGAAATTTGGCACACATGTAGAACATACTCTGGAAGAACACATGGGTTTATTATGTGTTTTTTAATTCCGCGTTGACGGAGTCGCGGGCGTCAGCTAGTGTTTTAATATTACTAGTATTATCTGTATAGATATTTTATAGCTTGGCATTACTTATTGGTGATAGTAAATAAGTTAGAATAGTTCACGTGAACTTAACATTTGCAAGCTAGCGGAGGTTAGAGCGGTTGCGTTTCGTTCCCTTTCGATTACGATCGAGCGCGTGAGAAACAAAATCGACCTTTGAGCCATTACTTGTGCCTTATCCTTTCCATAGACCATAAGTACATAAAAAATACAATTATAATAATTGAAAACATATGAATTTGTTTGTAATTTGGTACTAATCCGTGCGTATGTACGTATAATTTTGGTCTTAGGAAGTAAAGTACTTATTCACTTTCATGATATTCCCTGGCCATTAGATAAGAACATAATCGATAAGAATATGACGTCATAATGCGTGGGAAGAAATCATTTAACACGTCTAAAGTTACCTTCTTCCGGTGCCGTATCATTCGCGATATCGTAATAAACCTAGTGTGTAATCGATGAGATCGGCTTACACGATTCTCTCTATATATCATTCATTATAAGTGAAAAAATAAACAATGACAACATTAAGTTTAATTTCGCCCGCAACAAGTCTCATCAAATCTTAAATGACATAATGGTCAAATTGATATTGCGTCGTCCTATAATAGTAGCTGTTTAAATGAATAAATACATCTCACAGCTTTTCAGTTCTACGTAGTATATATCGTAGTTTGTGTTAGTAAAAACTAGCTGTGGCCCGGGCCTCTGTCCATGTAATATTAAAAAAAAACTTAATTAGTATAGCCTATGTGCAAATTTTAGCAAGATACATGCAGCCATTCTGGAGAAACTTTTTAACAAACATCCATCCATCTATACTTTCGTATGTATAGTATTAGTAAGATTACTTAAACAATGAAATCGGCTAAAAAAGAACATAGAAAATAAATCTTTTTAAAAAGTATATTGTTAGTAATAAATTACAGCTGCATCGTAAACAGTACTGGCCATGCACAATGCTGTTTTGGCCTAATTAATGCAATAAGGTGTCAATGATTGTCAATTAGTATTCATAGCTTGTCCGCCGCGGCTTATTATGAAGCATTATCGTATGAGGCACGACGTGTGTCGATTGCCTAATCTATTGCTCAAGCACGGATGCCCGTTAGGGACACCGCTGTTAATTAACAAAGTATAGGTCGAGAAAACTGCAATATAACGATGATTAAGGAATGACGCTAAAGAAAAATAAACTTTTGAATTTTAAAGTCCACTGTTAATTGTACATTTAGGTTCAAATATTGATATTGTTTATCTGATTTATTAATCACATTAGTCATAAAAAGTGCAGACCATTCAAAAGATAACATTTAATTTAAATACTTACAATTAACATCTGCAGTTCGCAGCATCATTTGTAAATAACAGATGCATCTTGAATCGTACAAACTTCAATACAAATAATATCAGCCCTGAACCAATCCTACTCTTTAAATCAAAATAACCATAATCATAGTAAATTATCTCTTATTTCTACCAATATTTACGGAATACAAGTATCTCTCCTAAAGACCATTTCAATTTGTCTAACATACCATCCAATATCACAATACTTTAACATAAACTGTTGTTTATTCTGCAACAAGTACTATGCCCTAAATTAACAAATTGTGACGCACTTAATACACAAATTGTTAATATTGTATTGCGCCACAATGTTTACTCATAATGCTGTATTTGTCTTTTAAAAACGCTGTTACCATACATACCTTTATGAATCATTTTATTTACCAAGAATTATACACAATCGTGTCGATACAATTACTCGATGATATTTTTATAATGTATCGATAAGTGGTCCATAGATAAGTATTCGTAGATATCGATATTACGCGGCCCCCTCCCTAGGGCGTACATTTGGTTAGGATTGCGGTAGTGATGCAATGGCCAACTCGGTCACACCTAGTATTTTCGCTCAAAGTCAGATGTTTTTAGAACTAGATCGTCTGCACACTCTTCGTGACCCGTGATCTTTTCTTCCATAAAGGTTACGCGTACGACATTGTGCTCTATAGTTTAATTTATTTAAAGCTGTCGCCCGCGACTCTGTCCACTTAGAATTAAAAGAAACGTAATTACGTCTACTGATTAGTAGCCTATGTGTTCTTCCAGACTATGTTCTGTATGTATGCCGAATTTCATCGAGATCCATTCTGCCGTTACGGAGATACCTTCAAACAAACATCCATCCATCTAAACATTCCCATTTATAATATTAGTTAAATAGTAAGATGTATAATATTTATTAACGTTTTATTATTAGTATTTATATTTATTTTTAACTACATTACTAATTTTAATACCCGAATAAGTGAAAATTTAAATTGAACAAGAATATACCAAATTGTAACTACTACACTCGTAATATAAAACTTTCTTGTTCAATTCAACGATTACACGCAACGTTAGTTAAAGATGAAAATTCGTCTCTCCGTATTGCGGATGAATTGTATAATTGCCGTAGAAAATTGCGCCTCCTGCAATAGAGGCCGGCTGCATCGATCGCTGAGGACCCGCTCGCACGGGAAACGAGCCGCGTAATTGCCCTCAATTGACGAATTACTCTAAACGGAGGAGGCATATCAAAGTATGTAATTTCCATGTTTTTTTATCGTTTTGGACACGAAGGTCTACCACTAAATGGTAATATAGACATAAAATTAAAAAAAAAATTAAAAACGCGAAATTTAAAAAAAACCTTAATTAATAGCCTACGTGTTTTTCCAGAGTATGTTTTACATCTATGCAAAATTTCATTATTCTTGAAATTCCATTCTAACAAACATCTATCCATTCAAATATTCGCATTTATAATATTAGTAAGATTAAAACGTAAAAGTATCTAGAACTATCTGCAAACATAATCTTTGTACACTTGAACTTGACCGTCGCTTATGATGTTTTCGTTCGCGCTGCGTACTCAAACATTCATACGATAATGAATTCGACAAATAATATTTGTACTTGAATACCAATTACATCATCAAAGTTAAGTGAAGCATACATAAGCGTAAATATAGACAGACATTATATGTCATATTATCATATATTTGTATTTAAATTTTAAACGAATCGACGGTTCGGGAATTTTTCCGGTAAAATTTACTTTAGTTCGGCTTTGCATTTTGTGGAAGTAAATTAAAACAAAATAAAAGATACATTTATCTGCCGAAATGCGAGTACTACTATACTACTAGAATGTTCCATTAAGTCGGGGTATTTTCATGGTCAAACCGGGCCATTCATGTCATATACTGCTTCTGGCTTTGCCACCTTTATCGCTATTAAAAGTAAAATAAAAACAAAACCGTCCACGAACGAATATTCATACGTAACAGTTCCTGAATGACGTTTGTTAAACTAATAGTTCTTACAGAAAATTCCTCGTCCAAAATCAATATCTTTTGTAAATCATCCAACCTACTTTGCATACATATTGTGAATTACATCAGTTGAAACACGCGGTCTCTTAACATTACAATGCAAATGTCAATTTGCAAACAAACGTGAAAAATTCTACTTGTTATGCAAAGTAACTCAATTAAAGTTGACGTCTTAAGGATAATTACTTATGTAGAAAAAAATATTTAAAGCATCTTATTATATAAACATGCCCTTACTCATTCTAATGTATTATGTCCATGTTTGACGAAATTGTATTTTTCTCGGTAACTTTAGTTAAATATTTGCATAGGAAATATATGAATGTCCAATTAGTGTTGGAATAAAATAATTAGATCATTGTTATCTAACTGTGTGATCTACCGTGGGTCTCTGAGACCATCATATAAGAAAGACAACGTCCTTCGCAATGGAATAAACATTAGAATGTCCCCTTGACTTCTAGACACGACGGTTCTTTCCCTTAACAGTATAAAAGAAATAAGTTTGCGACAATAGAACACCAGAAACTGTATGCTTTATTAGTACTAAGTAATCAATTTAATAGATTGTCGAAGTTTGACATGTAGGCGTCATAGGGACCGCGATGAGCCTCAGTTTTACATAAGAGTTATGAATCGCAAGCCCACGCGCGTCGCAAGGCCAGTGCCAGTGCGCAGTTGTGATGATTAATCGGCTTACATTCGATCAGTGCCGGACACGACATTCAACCGCTTGGTCTCTTGTCTTGTTTCACCAACGTAGCGCATTTGTGAGTTATTCCACTAAAAAACGCAAAACATTTTCTATTGTTATATGCTGCATAAGTGATTTATTATCTTTATCGAAACTAAAGATCAAATTAATTGTATATTTCGATGATAGCAAACATGAATCCCTACAACATCAAATTTCCCAACTTTCTATATTAAATTTGCCTTCTCTATGGTGTATCGTGCTGTTCAATTCTTTTCAATTTGCTCTTTGTATTGGTGCCATCTTTACTATACTTCCAAGATGTTATGTCGGCATGTTTTTTTAGTTATTGCTTTACGTGTTTTCGTTTTTCTGTTGTCGTAGACGTCAGCTCAACGGACACCCCGAGGAAATCGAGCGACGACTATTCACGAAAACATTTATCAGGTAAGTTTTTTGTTACATCAAAAGAATGCATAAATTACGATTTGAAAAGCATGACAGCACGGTCTTTCTCCAAAATAGGTCATGTTCCAAAATAGGTTTCATATCATAGCTTTTTCTGTACATATTTGTATCTAAAACACACATTTTCACAATTATGTCACGCTTCTGCACTCCGCGGATTTGCAACGCAGATCTGATCGAGGCCGAAGAAGACGAGGTGTCGAGCAGTCTACCCGATAGGCATCGCATGTTTAGAAAGGCATCCAGTAAGTCTATCATGCTTATATCTTGTAGCTACATTTGTAAGGTGCCATCACAAATGACATCAACATGACACTTAAAGGACACGATAAAGATAATAATTAATGTCACACAGTGCACGAAAAGGTTAAAGTTTGTGTGTTGTCATTTGTGATACAAATAGGTGAAGGCATGCTACATTCATTTGCACTGGATAATATAACGTAGTGAGGTGACGGAACTTAAAAACGGCATTCCTAACCAGCCACAATTAATCTAAAAATAAGTTTTATGAATAAAATTATATTGATATAACAATGAAGTAAAAATTTAAATAAAAAGTAAAATAATACGTTGACTTTTAAATTAAAACTCAAATAATGCATGACTCGGTTTTCATAGCTGATAAAAAATGTCTTGTAGACGTTTAGCAAATGTTTAAAGTAGTTACACCTACAGCCGTTTGTTAAATAATACCTCCGTAATGAACGGTATTGTTTTGATATTTCGACATTCTTTTTTATAACAACTTTGTACCTGATTTGATAAAAACTTTTGTAGTAATAACGCGAATGATGAAATGACAAAAATAACACTAATCCGGGAATATTTGTTCCAAAATGTTGGTACTAATGTGTTTGTATCAGCCTGTCGGTAGCAGGTAGCATGGTGTGAGCTGGTTAGTAGTGGCTAATGTTTGTGTGTGTCACTTGTGTACGTAGCCGCTAGCAGCTCCTTCAGTGGCACTTCAATGGACGCGCTCTGGGAGAAGCATCCCCGACGCCTGAGTGAGGCAGGCCTGCGCAGGTCCTCAGGTACGTGCACACATCACTACGCCCATTTCAAACTACATTCCACGCCCGATCGCCAAGGCCAAAAAACATTCACGTGGAAATAATTTGAATATCTGCATAAATCACTATTGTCATAATCGTACGTCGCTCACGCTCGTAGATCGCCTACATGCGCTTTGGACGCTGCCGATTCATTGGATGTAAACTGCTAGTCGTTAAGCACCTGTGGTATTGATGGTTTGGATTTGGTTATGAGCATGGTATTTATAAAGTATTTCACCAAGTAGAAGTCAAATGCAGTTTGTTTGGAGTAGTGACCATAGCGAAAGTCCGATAGTTTTAAAGCAAATCGTCAGGTCTGTACTTCGGAATGTAAATGGCCGTTTAATGGGCCTTGCAGTTGCATATAACGGTATTTGAGTCTTGTGCACGTAGTAAAATATGCGCGGTGAATAAGGAATGCAAAGAGGATATCCATATTTAGTCATCTCGTAAACTCTTTAGTGCCTGTCACTTTCTATAGAAATTCTGAACTAAACAAAATGATGGTCCTAGAGATTTCTCGCAAAAATGCATTAATAATGGATTATAATTAATATTTCATTTCAGACCACAGCGTCGTGTTAACAGAGGACACAGATAGCTTCATAATTGGCGAAAGGGTTTGGGTAGGCGGCACTAAGCCTGGCCAAATCGCGTACATTGGTGAAACGCAATTCGCGCCCGGAGATTGGGCCGGTATTGTCCTTGATGACCCAATCGGTAAGCCACTAACCACAGTAATGTTACCACTTCTTTAGAGTTCATAAATAATATGTATCTGTTTAATTCATATCAAATTTTTAGGCAAAAACGACGGATCCGTTGCGGGAGTGAGATATTTCCAATGTCCGGAAAAACGGGGAGTATTCTCTCGGTTGACACGACTGACCCGAGCGCCGCTGGTGAGCCATGCCCCTCACGACACATCACCGCTCTCTGACGCTGGCAGCGTGTTCGAACGACCACCTTCTGGCGCCGCGAGGCCCAGGCGCACTCTCTCTCCTAATGGAAGTGTCCGCAGCATCGTCAGCAGCAAGATGAGTAAGATAGTTTACTGCGATATATCTTTAAACAAATGGTTAACATCTTCTTTGAAACTAATGTGTGTGCATTTTTTAGATGCTTCGATTTCAACAACGGCGAATGGAGAACTTCGCCTGGGTGACCGCGTTATAGTATCAAGTAGTCGCGGCAGTAAAGCCGGGATTTTGCGTTACGTCGGCGTTACTGATTTTGCGTCAGGCGTTTGGGGTGGAGTGGAACTCGATGACCCTCTCGGAAAGAACGATGGTTCCGTTGACGGGAAGAGGTTTGTTTACAAGAAAATAAAGGTGGATTCTAGTGGTCATTTCAAAAGAGTTTATCGACTTGCATGTTTATCTAGTTTCCAATGATTTTATGATTGAATTGTAATGGTAGTGGATCACAGTAAATTCGAACCAATAATACGAAACAATGTTTTCAGGTACTTCGAGTGCGCACCGCGCTTCGGCCTTTTCGCGCCGATTTCGAAGGTATCGAAGTCGCCATCGAATAGGAAACCGGGCACGTGCGCGATCCACAGCAACGGGCGCGGCACACCGCTGCGGCGCTCCAACTCACGGGAGTCGCTCACCTCACTCGGCACCTCGGTAGCGTCGTCGCGCGTGGGGGTGAGGCTCGGCGTGACATCGCTCGGCGCTCAGGTAGGCTAGCCTCGCGCCCGGTCGGCCGAGCCCCCCACCTCACCCAAGCCGCCCAGGCCTCCTCGACTACACGACAAGACGTTGCTAGTGAAGCACGTGGAGCGCGATCGCTGCGCCGTGATCGCTCTACCGCAGCCTCGCGTCTACTACGACCTCGTGTTCCGCTCGGAGCCGAAACGCAACGAGCTGAGAGCTCGGCGGTGGTCGAGCGAGACTCTGCCGAAGTCGTGGCGTTGCTCGGAGAGCGTGCTCAGTTTCGAGCGGCCGCGGTCGGAGCGATCGCGGCGCAGCGACTCGAGCGGGTCGAGCGTGGCGAGCGCGGGAAGCTCGGGCGGCGAGGTGGTGCGCGTGTGGGGCCGGCCGGCTGCGGTGACGAGGGCCAGCCGCGGGGGCGCCGCCGACTTGTTCGTCGCTCTGCCGCCGCCGCGCACTCACTTCTCCGGCTTCGGCAAGACATACCATTTCTCCTGCGTCTCGCCCTTCCAGTTCACCTACCCCAACGTTGTGTACATTTGAACGCGATAGTTCCTTCACATGATAACCGATGGTTCCGAAACGTATTCAGAGGTGCGAGGCGCCCCTGAATATTGTCCGTCCTGATTATTTTCCTCGACTTAAAGCACTCACAATATATTTATTGGCACAAAATAAAGAGAAGCAGGAGATATGGTAAGCGCAGTAGGTGTGCTTACCGTCTGCATGAGCATCGGTTTTATTTTGTTTGTAGTTGGCACCCCTTGGTTTGGCCCTTGTCTTTATTTTATTTGTTACTAACAATTATTTTATAATTCATCGTACTAATTAGAATATTATTTCGCTCGCGTCCTAGATATTCATGTCAAAGTCATGCCCCACTCACTTCACAGTTGATCCCGCACTGAATTATAAAGAGACTGTCGTAGTCATATCGTAGAAGTTTATTATGATTTAATCTGTGATATTATTTTTAAGATCTCATTTTAGACACATATTACGTATACTTGTGATGGTGTCTTTTTTATTTGTACTTCAATTTTTTTTGCTTTGTTTACGATAACTTCACCTCGGCATGAATTGAAAGTTAATAATATGTTGCCAAAGATTATATTATATTTACGTATACATTGATTACTCACAAAACGTTGTTTTTTATGTATTTAGAATCTTATTGCACTAAGATAACTAGAACACAATACCATTATTTAATTTCTTTGCTAAGAAAGTTGGTTTCTTATACAAAAAACAGTCTATCACAAGTTTGAAGCAACTGTTCAATTATTTCTTATGTCGTTCCGAATATATAGCCGGTTATGCATTTCCCCTATTGATTTACAATTTATTTTATTGTCTTATTTTATTTCGTTGATATTAATCAAAATTTTAATTGTTTGTGTGTGTTTTTTTAATTATTTCACGTATACAGAAAGCTATAAGATTACATGACGTACTCCGTGACTTGCCTTGCATTGGCTAGCAACCTGAGTACTATATCGCTTAGGCGTAGCGATACATTTATAAACAAATTGCCAAGACTTCGGGCAACATTGATAACAAACACAATTGAAAGGAACTGGAATAATACTTCTATAGTTGTTGATCCACAGCGAGCAAACAAGAAAATCTTATAGCATTCCGTGTATAGACATTACAGCTTTGCTAAGTAGTATAGCTGCAGTGGGAATTGAGTGCGTTAACGCGTGTTGTTTTGTTCTGTTCCCCCCATGTTTGTTTGCGCGTTCGCACTGTCACTAACGGCACGGCAGCGAGTCGGTCCGCGAGCCTCGTCCACGCCCGTCAGCGCCAAGAACGCGTTGCAGGTACAGTATCCCACGATCGCGGCGCGGTAAGCCGGGAATATCGTGTCTACAATTAAATAAAGTAGATCTCGTATCGTGACGTTTTGTATCAAAAGAAACCTTTATCCTATAGTGTCCTTCTTTCTCTTTATTTGGTATCCAAGTTTTCGACCTTCAGATTGATTCTTCGTCATATTAGTCGTAACTCCTTTTCTAATCGTGCTACGCCGTATCCTATCTCATTTTATTTTATATGTGTGTGATTTTATGGCTGTCTTTTGATATCACTAGACTCGTCTTGCTGTTAAATATCAAAAGAACGCGATATTCCTACTTATTTGAGTTTGAGGATACGGTTGTCTTTCTTACCTTGACTTTCATTGACGGAACGATACGACATCTATAAATAATTTATGTAGGCTCGATACTTTGGGTGAAAATCATTTGTGGGCTTCATATCAAAAGACGTTTTGCAATTCTTGCTAATAAACATACCACTAAAGATATAATTGTTATTTATTTTTAATTTGACATTTTGAATGTTGAATAAAAAATGAAATTTTTAAAAAAAAATCTTTTTTTTAAGTTTTTTAGCAAGATTGCAAAGTATTTATTTCTTTTGATTTAAAGCGCATGCGTGGTGACCTATCCCGGCTATCGCGTTGTAATTGTTGGGAAATTCATAATGTAACTTTTGAATGTTGTTGTATTTTTTTTTACTAAAAATGTGGTTTTTCAACTTGTCTTTGTTTTCACTTGGTATTCTACTTTTAAGGATTAACAATAAATAATAGTTTTATATTCCATAATTTAATATTAATAATTTTTTAATTACATAAACTTAATAATAATGCACAGTAAAGTACAAAAATAAAGCATGTTCCACAATAAACCAGATTCTGTTTACAAAATCTAGGCGTCATGTTGTGATTTTATGTGATACAAACATTATTAGCATTTGTCAAAGGCAAAAACTGTGATATTTGATTTTGAACTTTTTCGCATAATTTATACAAAATAAGCGTCAATAGCCTAATGGTTAAGGGTACGGATTTCCGATCACGAAGTTGGGGTTCGAATCCCGCCATTCGACTATTGTCGTAAACCATATCCTAGCACAAGCCTAGAGCTTAGTTGGAATGGTAAAAGAAATATTAGTAAATTTACAAAAAAAAAATCTGCTAATATTTAAAAAAAAATTTTTTTGCTACATTTATTTTGTCGCAATGGAAACAATTTTTTCTTTTTTTTTATTTATTAAAAGAAAACCCAGTGCCTGTAAGAATTGATGATATTCATTTAGTTAAGTACTCGTATAACTAAGCATTCCTTATATGTGAATAACGTCATTTACTATGACGTACTTTGATATTTTATAGTAACATAGATGTAGACCTAAGAATTGTGTAGACACGTCTATAAAAAAAAATCTCAAGTATAACGTAGGTATTTATTAAGTGTTTAACTTTTAATAAAATTGGTATATCTTATTCTGCATGTTTAAGCATTTATAATGTCTATATAATTCTTAGGAGTTTTTATAAAGCTTGCATATTTACTATGTATGAATAATTTCGAATGCATTAATATTAAGGTTTAATAAAATTATGTCTGGATTGTCGTGTCTTATTATTCTATCCCTATATTTTCTATATAATAAAGTATTCGTATAACTTACTGATGTGGTTTTATTGCTATAATACGATGCTTGTGTGATTGCATGTTTGTGATGGTGTTTGATGCTTGGAGCTCTGACTTCACGAAGTATTTCTGTTTACCTTGGAAAGCAGAAAAAAGCTTTATACTACTACAATAGTATTTTAACCCAAAAAATTTACGCATAAATTATCCGATAGAATAAAAAAATCGTTAATTTTTCATGTATATAAATATAATTTTGGTACCATTCTATAAAATACAAAGCTATGCTTCTAAATGCTATGAGTTAAGGAAAATTGCATGATAACAAAACTGCTGTAAATATACTTCAGTTGCACATACCAAAGGTGCATTTTCAACTCCTTCCTAATATCAACAACATAGTGCTTTCAAGTTACTTTGTACATGTGCATCAAGTTAGAATTAAGTGATACTATGATTTGAAAAGTTTTTGTACCAATATAAGTAGCGAGCATGAGTTTATGAAAACGAAACCACGTTTTCTGGCCTAAAAATTATGTTACAAGAAATTACTATTATTCAGACATACATGAAGAACTTTGTCGTGTAATGAAAAAATATGTAAATTTTAGTATTCATTTTATACACAATTCTTAACGAATGCATAAAACTATTGATTTGTCAAAATGAATTATTTTTCTACAAGAAAAGACTCATTTATTACAAGGCCAAGTTGTATAACTTAATCCTTAACTTAATAAGCTATATAAAAAGAATTTCATCGATATGGGATTTTTTCACGCAACGTAGATTAGCTAGAAATATAGCACACATTTCTACCAAATTATGTCTGGCTATGAATAAAACCCATATTTAAAAAAAAAAACAAAGTTTTCGAGGATCAGAATTGTAATAATAATACTCTTGTTTGGATTAAAACTGACCTGAAAATAGTGATTTTTAGGAAAAAATAATTAACACCAATACCATTTTGTATGTTATATAAACAAACAGTAACGTTAGTCATAGTAGAAGCGATTGAATGACGGTGGGAACGGTGAGCAATTAGCAGCCGTTCATGTTAGGGCTGCCAATTTTCTATAAGCTAAACAAAAGTTTAGTATTCAAAATAACGTAACGAAGATCAATGACTTGGTAACCCAGCAAAAAACACGTCTAAAATAATTATATCTATTGATTTTTATCATACTTACTCAGACTCTTACTTCGAATATGCAACATGCAAAGCCGGAGACTTCGGGTAGAATCCGAAGAGGCAGCCCTAAGTCATGTGGGAGGGCGTTAATGCGCCGTGCGCTACTGCCGTGCTCTCGATGCTGTAATCTCTCGAAATTACTCGATAATATTAAATATAAACAATTATCGTTATTCATACCGAACCAAAAAGGTTTCGTAAATTAGATTCGACTATCAAAGATAAATTTAGTAAATATTCGCTATCCTTATAAGGCTATTAATAATAGGATGTTGGGTAACATGCTAACCAAATCATTTTAGTATTGATTTAAGCGTCAATAGCCTAATGGTTAAGGGTACGGATTTCCGATCACGAGGTCGGAGGTTCGAATCCCGTCATTCGACTATTGTCGTAAACCATATCCTAGCACAAGTCTAAAGCTTAGTTGGAATGGTAAAAAGAAATATTAGTAAATTTCCAAAAAAAATCTGCTAATATTAGTTTTAGTCATAACTATGTAATGAAAAATCATAGCACACAAATTTAAATCCCCAATACTATAAGAAGGACGAACACCTTTAAGCAAAGCATCAACTTGTAAGTTTTTTTTCGACTGTTCTACCTTTTAATTGAAATAAAAACATCAAACATATCCAATATCAAAACGTGTCATCCAATTTAATTCGTATTCGATTCAGCGAATTGAAGTCCGTGCAAAGATCGAATTACTCAGTTTTTGTATGGTTGCTTTGTCGCAAGAGGGGACTGTAAAATTATATATATATATATTCTTGTTGAAAATAATAAATACACAAGCCCGGTTTTGAACTTCAAAAACTACTAAAAACGCATATAAGGTGTACTGCGTTTAAAGTATATTATGGATCCATGGCGCATTAATTGACCATTATTATTCAAAGGGTTAATTACCAATTAAACCTTGATTAACTCAGATCTAAGCATTGGACTTCGAGGGATCGTTGATGGAATATAAAAATTAAATAAACGATATGAGAAAATGAAAATGAAAAACGAATTATTAAAATAATTAACTCATAATTATTTGTATTAATATAAAACAGAAGTCGGCCCACGTCAAGTTAATTATCTCCTCGACTTGATACTATCGAGTATCAAGTCGAGGAGATATCGATGCTGACGGCATGTTTTGACCTCTAAAGCAATCTCTAATTAATAAAATTAAATATTAATTTAATTTACATTAATAGTAACATTAAATGCGTTTTAGATAATAATATGTGTAGGTAGTTTGATAAATGAAAGATGTTAAATACATTGAATAGTTTTTTTTAAACTAAATGACAATTTTGTCGGTATTACTTAACCCTTAGTAGCCTGATTTACATACGAAAGTGATTCATTTTTGCTGTGTGATATGTGTTTGATTGATAAAATAAAACAATAATGTTTTTTTTTTAAAATTTCGTTGGAAAGAATATTATAGAACAGTAAAATAGGTACAGCCAACCTATAAAAAACTAATAGTAATGTGAACATTCGGTTTTAAAGATTGGTATCAAAATTGAAACTCTATGCTAATAAGGGTTAACTCGCTAAACACGATATAGTTTTAAGCTGGATATTTTGGGTCATACTATACAGGTTGTCCTAAAAGACGCATGTAATGGAATAATACAGATTCCGTAGAGGAATCTTACTTCTAACTAATTAATGTCAATGATTAGATGAATGGATGGATTTTTGTTTGAACGTATCACGAGAACGGATGAACGGATCTCGATGAAATTTGGCATAAATGTAGAATTTAGCGTGAAGGAACACATAGCTATGTTTTTTAAATTCTGCGCGAACGGAGTCGCGGGCGACAGTTAATACTTCATAAAGGTACATTGTTATGATGAAAATGTGGATCGACAGCTTTTTTATATAACAGCTAGGTTTTTATTCTAAAATATTAATTCATACTAAATTACAACATAAATGTAATAAAATAAATTATGCATGACGTTTAGTAATAGATATAATTAACAGCATTAGTCAGCGAGAACTAAATAAGTCGCCAATTATTCCGTGCCTTATTCGTCGCCATTAATACAATCCTTTATGATGTCAACTAATCGATTGTCAATTAAAAAACAATGTACAACGTCTTAATGTTACTAATTGTTTCTTTTTATTTCAATGATCGTTCCTTTTTTAAATTAAATTAAAACTTTTTGTATTAGGTTACAACTTTTTCATTTTTTTTATAAAGAATAAGCGGGATGGCAGTTTGTTTTGCTCTCTCGCATTATTACGACTAAACATTTATTTTTAACGATTTTTATTTTTTATGTCTAACATTGAAACCGTTTGAAATTGTTAAAGTTATCACACGATAATGACTGGGGTACACGATCGAAAAGTGAATGATTATCGTTGTAAAAATTGTGTGCAAGACATCGGCGACAAATATGAGAAAATTACCAAACAAGTGAAGTGTGTCAAACAGCAATGGATTAAACAAAGGTCTTCAGTGAACTTCACGGATTGTAGTACGCTTTTCAATCCGCAAAGTTCCTGTAGACTAGTGTTTACGACAACTGATGGTGCGGAGCGAAGAGTAAGCAATGGAGACACATGGCTGAATGAAGATAATTTTGGAAAGTTAACATAATGATATATTGTTCTTTTACCTATTTTTGTGTCTTAATCGTGTCTAATTTGATGTATATTTAATATTTATGTAAGAAAAAATGTATGTCTAGTGTAATAAGACGGTTAATTGTGGAACATTGAAAATTACTTGAAACTTAAATATTAATCGAAAAATATTTATCGTATAAGTCAAACAATGTTCTGAGACATTTGTTATATGAATCTATAATTTCTTTATATTAAACAACAGGAGTTACTGCGGGAGAAACAACATCATTTGGAGAGGCTGATGCGTGAACGTGAACTGGAGCGCGCGGAGATCGCTAAAGTGTCCCTCCAGGCGGAAAGAGCGGAGACTGCCTTAGAACTTATTAAAAAAGAAGCAACACAGGTATGGACGTATAATTTTTTGTTTACTCAATCGTAATGTTATTGAGATTTTGTTCAACAAAATATTAAATGTACCTTAGTAAATAACAAAAATCAAAACATTTTTACAGGCAAGCACAGAAAATGCAAAACTTAAAATCGAACTGGACAAGCTCAATAAAATGTTGGAGGACGAAAAGCAGAAGGTGGAAGATCTTATGTTCCGAAACGAAGAAGAGAATATTAATCGAGAAGATTACAACGTAAGCTTTTATAAAATAAATTATAGTTCCATTCTACACGTGTCGTAAGGTTTTAATTTTACCAAAAAGTAATACAAATAATTTATTATTTCAGAGATATAAGGATGCAATGGAGGTGAGTGAACTGGTATAGATAAAGTAGTATAACATTTTTTAATTAATTTTTAACTCATAAAATTTAATGCGATTTAATTAAAATTAATCTCTAAATAATAGCAAGAGAAAGCAGCTAGAGAAAAACATATTCGTGAATTGGAAGCAGAGATAGCGCTGCAGTCCGCTAGAGCTGACACTACAGCTGCAGCACTGAAAGCTCTTGAGGATCAACGCACCATCGAAGTCGCCTCCGTGGCCGAACAACACAAAGAAGAACTCTCAGCTGCTCATAGTCAGTATTAACTTATATCTTTATACTAAGATTATTATCAACAATTTATAATCGATTTATGATTATTTTAACATTTTCAGCTTTATCATCAGAACTGCAGAAATTACTTGATGAAGCATATGCCTTACTTAAGGAAAAAGAAAATGAAAAAGACTCACTAGGCAAGAGTATGTCCGAAGAGCTAACTCGTGTTAAAGCAGAATACGAAAAAGCATTAAATGAAGCTAAAACTAAAATCGCAATCGCTCAAACAGAATTTGAAACGCAAGTTTCTGTTCTAACAGCTAAGCTGCAGTTAGCAGAATCGAAACTAGATGCTGAGAAACAGAACATAGAAAGGCTAAATAAAGAGAATAGCCAAACAGTTATCGATCTAAATACTAGAATAACACAACTTCAAGCCGTCCTCGATGATAAAACATTAGAATTAAATAAAGGTAAGACATTTAAACAGACTTTGTATAAATACATGTAAATGCCAGTTTAACTAACGATATTATTTCTTACAGTTTTAGGAATGAGTAAAGAACATGAAGTTAGCCTGAACAAGGAAATTACAAAGTTAAAAATGGAATTAAGCGCAAAAATTTTAGATTTAGAACAATTGGAAGATTCAAAGAAGAAACAGGATACTGTGTGCAAGAGTCTGCAAGAAGAGTTAAGTCGAATTAAAGAAGATCTAACAAATAAAGAGAATGAGTATAAAACATTCTTGAATGAGATATCTCAACAAAACGAGAAAAATAAAGCAGAAATTATAAAATTGCAACAAAACCTACAATCCAAGACTAAAGATTATGAAAGACTGCTTTCTGAGAGTAGTGAATCATCCAATTCTAATGAAAAAATGATCACCGAGTACAAGGAGACGCTGCACGAAAGGGATAAGGAAATAATAAAACTTAAAGATGAATTTGAACAAGCTACAGCTAATTTTAATATTAAACACAGCAAAATTGCTGAAGAGCATAAAAAGGAAATTGACGATCGCAATTCCAAAATAGAACAGCTAATGAAAGAAATTGAAAGTCACAAGCTTGCTTTAGATCAAAGTAAAATAGAACTGGATACACTTAACTCACAATTTACACTTAATGTCGATGAATTAAAAGCGTTGAAACTAGAAAATGAACGTTTAAAACAGTCTATAGATGAATTAACCCATGTTAATACAAATCTAAAAGAGAAGATGGCAGCTATGGAATTAGAAATCGGAGAACTAAAACGGCAACTGAACAGTAGTTTAGAAAAATGTGAAGAACTGCAGGTGACAAAAGAGAAGATAGAAAACGAATATATGAACCTTACTGGTCAGACGACAGATTCAAATGAACAGTTTAACAAACTATCGCAACATTTGAAAGATACAGAAAAAGAGCTCCAAGAGTTAAGAGACAAACATAGAGAAGTCACTAACAACTATGGACGGGTAGAGCAAGAATTAAAGCAGAAACTTTTCAAGCTGCAAGAAGATTTTTCAGTGGAGCGTGGCCAATTATTAGATACGATAAATGAAAATATTGAAAAACAAAAAGTAGAAGAAAATAAAATTAAAGAATTCGAAATGCATGCCCACGAACTTAGCAATCGCACAAAAGAATTAGAAAATCAGAACGATTCACTTTTAGACGAAAATTCAATTCTTAAAAGAGAAATAGAAGGTTTAAGAGCCAAAGAACAAGAATTGAGTATTGAATATGACTCCATACGTAAGAAGTTAGAAATGGAAATAGATAGATACAAGGAAGAAGTCTCGATGCTTAAAGCTGAAGGAGCAACATCTGAAGTAAAATTGATGGAGAAAGTTGATCAACTCACTGAAGCACAAAATGACTTAAATAATAAACTTGAAGAAGCAAGAAAACATGAAGATTCTTTACAAAAAGTATTGGATGACATGACTGCACAAATGAATAACAGAACTGCTCAGCACGAGAAACAAATTGTTCATATTCAAGACCAGTTGTCCACTGTGAATGAAGAATTAAATAAATATAAAGCGGAAGAACAAAGACTGAAAGACCTTCTAGAAGAAAAACAAAATTATGTAAAAGAATTAACGCTTAAATTAGAAATGTTTGAAGTCGACGTAAAATCGCATTTAGAATTAGTTTCTGAAAAGGACCGCCAACTAGCTTCAGTGAATGAAGAGTTAAGTAAAGTAACGGATAGTAAACAGAAATTAGAAGAACAGTACAATAACTTAACGGCAGAAGCTTTAGCAATCAAACAAAAGTATGATAATTTAGTGAGCAATGCAACTGCAGAAGAATCAATGTTAAAAGACCAATTAGACCAAATGGAAACGTTAAAGAAAGACTTGTTAACTATTTCTAACGAAAAAACACTCTTAGAATCAAAATATAACGAGGCTACAAACGAGCTCCAAGAGGTAAAAGTTAAATTGGAAGAAGCTGAAAAAGTTATTAAAGAAAATACAAACATAACAGATAATTTATCAAAAGAAATGGGGCAAAAAGATGATTTGTTAAAATCTCATATCGATCAAATCACTGAAGATGCTGAAAAAATCAAAAAGTTAGAAGAAGAAATAGCTGAGATTAGATTGAAAATAACAAACAAGGATAAAGCTTTAGAAGAACATCAAATTGAATTGACTAAATTGAAAGATACTTTAAAATCAGAATCCAATGAAACACAGAACAATTTTAATACACTTCAGACAGAAAACGAACAAATAAAAGAAAAACACAAAATGGAAGTAGAATCTCTTACCAATGAAACAAAAACTTTAAGAGGTCAAATTGTGGAAAAAGAAAAGCAATTAGAAAATCTACAGAAAACACAGGATAAAATAACAGAACTACAGGAGCTATTGGCAAAATCTGAAAGTGATATAAAACAGTTAACAAATATAAATGAAGGCCAAAAATTGAATTACGAAGACTTGAACAAGCAACTGCAAACACAATTTGACGAATATAAAAAAGAAAGCAGGAGCAAACGTCATGACCTAAAAAATCAATTGAACGACTTCGAAAAACAATTGCATGAATCGAGAGAGAAACTAAAAGAAGAACTTGAGAAACAAAATCAATTGCAAATTAAACTTACGGACGCTGAAAAAAGAATTTTAGAGTTGTCAGAAAAATTGGAATTATTAACTGTACAACAAACGAGCGACGTAAATAAAGATGATAGACTTGAAAAACTTACAATTGAGTTACAAGCTATAAGAAAATCAAGCGCCGAATCAATGGCTAAAAGTGAACTGACAATAAATAATCTGCAAATAGAAGTTGACAATAAAATAAAAGATTTAAAACAAAAAGACGAAATGATAAATAAATTACAAGAAGAATTAAAGGTAAAGAAGAAAACTTTAATAAATCTAGATGAAAGATAAGAATTTCAAAATTAAAATGCTTTTTTTTTTACAGAATCATAAAGTGAAAGCAGAAGTGGCAGAAAGAGAAAAGGCTATGATACAAAAAGAAATGAGTACAATGGGGAAAAATGTTCGTGACAAAAATGATAATGACGCTATGGGTACTCTAGGACAAGGGGACAATGCCACAACAAAGTAAGGAAATCTATTGACAGTCAATACTAATTAACTTAATCTTGATTTTATAACTTTTTATTTCCTAATTCTCTTGTTATAGGGTACAAGAGGAAAAAGAAATTATAGACGGACAAGTTAGCTTCTTGAATTCAGTGATAGTGGATATGCAGCGTAAGAACGAGCAGCTAATGGCGCGAGTGCAAGCTTTAGAGGGGGCAACTACGCCTAGCGAACCTCCTCTATTGTAAGTTGTTTGTCAATTTTGCCACAAATCATATTTTTGACATAAATATTACACCTTGTTTCTATATTAAATTTGCTTAATTCATCTTCAGTAACTCGTATCATCGGTCGGTCATAAGAATTTTAACAGACGAAATAATAGATGGCAAAAGGGCGGATCAAGCTGATTACTACAATAGTGTTCGAGCAAGAATTACGTATAGATAATAATTAAAATGGCATATTATCCACAGTAATGGTCGCAAAACGCGCACGCCGCGTCTGTTTTGCGACATCTGTGACGTGTTCGATGCGCACGACACGGAGGACTGCGCGCGTCAGGCCGCCACACCGCCGCCACCCGCGCGCACTCCGCCCCCGCCCCGACCCTACTGCGATATATGCGAAGGTAACCTTACTTATTATTAATATAAATTAGAATGTTTTAATGAATGTTTGTTAATAGATATCTCCAGAACGGTTGCACAGATCTTTATGAAATTTTAATGTAGATATAGAATAGACTAGAACACATAGGATATTTATGATCCCGGAAATGTGTACAATTCTCATGGTATAAGTTTGAGAACACTTCAAAACATCTTATTGAAATTTAGTACAGATACACATCTCAAGATACATTTAACTTAAAAAAAAATAGTGTTCTGAGCTGTCAAGATGATTAAAAAAATTTACCATCTGTTTCAAAGTTGATGATAATCCATTTTCCTTTGTTACAGTGTTCGGCCATGCTACAGAGAACTGTGATGAAGAGGAAACTTTTTAATACCTATTTATTGAAATTTAGTTATATTGTTACCGTTGTTTGTTGTTACTCTTTGGCATGAGTATTATTTATTATTGTTTACCGTTTACAGGTACGACTTGTTTTGTAGTTGATATCTTAGGGAATGTTTGTATATAAGATCATTGATCTTTTAACTAAGTTTTAATTTAGCATGTTATTTTAAAATCAGGTGATTGTCTTTTTATTTTTGTTGTCTCTTACACATTATCTGGATATAATGCGTATTGAGAATTATATTTTAATGAGCACATACACAAGTCCAATCTCGATCATTTCTTTCATCAGGTTTCATCCTGTATTATATCTACAAAATAATATGATTCAAATTAACAACAATATATAGATATGAAAATTTTTTTAAAGCAATAAAATTATTATGAAAACCGTACCTTGTTTTATTTTTATTTAATATTCTTACTAAGTTTGGAACTTTAGCAGGGACAACTACAAAAATTAAAAAAAATGAAACGATTTAATAATTATAAAATATCTTTATTCATTACAATTATATTAACTAAGATTAGTCGTTAATCTAAACCATCCTTCTTTTCTTTTATTGCCTCCTGTAACACAAGAAATTGTATATGAATAAATAAGAAATCATTGAAATATTTTTGGAACATCAAACATAAATCAAGAGTTAGTTATGGTAAGTACTACACTTGTATAGCTTGTATTTATTGGCTTCAGCATTACATGCTCTACGAGATGCTCTTGACCTCTACGATATTAGCCATGAAACTTCTTTTTAAGATACAAATATAAAGATAACATACCTTAAATCTCTCTTCAAACAGAGACAGTTCTGATGTAAGATCTGTGAGTGCATTCATGAAAGCCTCCTGTGGCGTGTAGTCAGATGTTGTTTGAATGCGTAAAACAAATTTATGTTCCAATGGATGTGGGATTTTGTATCCAGCAAACAATACTTTGGGATCTTTCAGAAGTTGGCTGTAAGAAAAAAGTATTTGCTGTCAGTTGTTTATACATAACAATATGAATTTAATATAATATTGGTTTGATATCAAATTTACCGAGTAGACAGAATACATTGAATTAAACACAATCTTTAAAATCAGACCTCATTCCTAACATAACTCTACTTTTAAAGTAAAGCAACAAACACCAAAAATAATCATTGAATATAGTAGTATAGCAAATGTCATATCAAAGAAAGGATATTCCTTGTGCAACACAGCATCTAATCATAGTAAAGTAATTTTTACTTACTGTCTAATCATGTTACCAAGTGTGTGGTCTTCTTTGTTAACAGTGAATATAGCTGCATTCGTAACTTTTGTATCTTCTTCCTTTTGAACTCTGTAATAGTAACAAATTACTAATTGTTAACAAGCACTTTCACTGTTGAAACATATTTTCACATGCATTTTCTATATGCTATTGAGTATATTATCAGATTTATTAAAATTCGATTCATTTAATCTTTCAATTAAGAAAACGAAATATCCAAAATAACACAAAATCCAAACCAAAATTAGAATTAGTAGTAAATAAAAAATAAACTTACTTCTTCTCTCCGTCATACAAAAGAAATGACTCGAATGTCGGCGGCGCATTCATCGTAAGATGTGATCAAACTATTCTTATTAAATCTTTCGTATAATTAAATTGTAAAAGTTTGTAAGATTTTATTTTATTACGCGAACTTTATTTAACCAACAACTAATCACTGTCAGTGACATCTGTCATTACCCCGGATGTCAATATGACAATGCTACAACGATTATTGCCATAATTTTCTTCAAAATTTTAGGAAACATTGTAGAATTAAATTATTAAGCATGCAAATCCACGTAGTCTACTAATTTTGAAAAAATTTGAAATATTTGGCAGAAATTATTAAATAACTACAAGTTTTCTTGGTTATATTATAAAAACGTTAAAACTACCGAAATGTAAGTGTTAACAGAAAGTCGAAAGGTTGTTATAAAAATTGTTTAAATACATCACAAAAGTTAATGGTTTTGTAGAGTTTTTTAAGTTATAAAATAGACAGTCAAGTAAAAATAAAAGCCAAGATTTACAGCAGAAAACACCGTTTATTTTATAATTATGAGAGAATTTCAGATTGATAACCTACATACAGAATATGACTATAAAACCAATCTAATTTGAATTTCACAATTTTTTCAGAACATTTCGGTTAATTCGTAAGTAAATTACTGTTATTTCAAATGTAATAATGCTATAAATTTTGTATCTGAGTTAATTAACAAGAAGAATGCAGGATAATTTGTCATAAAAAGGATTATTATAAATACAACTTGAATACATTTTATATATAAACATACAAGAAACTCATATCTGAACAGTTCTAATATCTATTTCAACATTTTCGTCTAAACTAAATATGTATAAAAACAACATGATTTAAAATAATTTATAAACTTTAATACATTTTTAATGTTTTACATAATCCAACGCCAAGCGACATCGATTATTAAGAGAGAACAAAGCATGTTTGATAGTATAACATTAAAACTACATCTCAAGTCTAGCGACTCTACAGTTTAACAAGAAGGTTTAATAAGTCTGAGAGTCTCAATTGCTTAAATATTTATTTAATTATTTTATTAATACTTTTCTTCGTGTGATAGAAGTCGGAGGTGACCATACCTCCTTTTTAACTAATTAGGACAGTGTTATTGATATAGCAGTAAAACTATTAGGACAAAAGAAGTGGGCAAACGACGTGCCGAAATCGAAGTGCTATGTGTGAACCTGCCTTAAATATGATTCCAATGACTTTATTAAATGTTTCTTAAAATTATTATCTGTATGTTCGTTGTCCAATAAATTCACAAGCGAGAACGATTCAGAATGGTTATCAATTGAGTTTCCTCTTTTACAGCCGACCTAATAACTTGGATTAGATTATAAACTCGTGAATAGATAATTTGTTACATTAGCTATATAAAGTACGAGGGAGTATCTATTGAGATAGAATACGAGTGAGTACACGAGCAGTCCGGCCAATACATTGCTGAAGGTCAACGGTTAGTTAAGCTTCAGGGACGCTCCTCCTCGGCTCACTGTTAACACTTATTAACTATCATCTGTTATTGTAATAAAACACTATAAGAATTGACACATAAGTATATAAACTATACTAATTGTGTACATATACAAAATTAGCAATCCGATAACAATATGCACACTATTGATTATGAAAATATCTATGCGATTACAAGAATGAGATTTGTTATAAGTTACAAGTAAACTTTTGAGGGGCGACGAGCCGCTCGCTTGAACACGATACACTTAGAGTGAACTCTAGCGAGGGCACGCGCCGACTGGCGACACACCGGGAGAGCACAGACCGATCCGAAGCTGGCTTAAGTCCGGGCCGAGGTCTACGCTAACCTTTACTTTACAAACGAGATCCGCCCGAACGACGGGCGGCTTGTGCGAACTTGTGTCCATCTGACGCACTTCAACTACTACGATTAACTTTATTTGGTGTCCAGACACGCCAGCCTCGCGCGAGGCCGGCGACAAACTTATCCTACGTAAGACGAGAGAGCGAGAGGGAGAGGCGGGGAGCTCGCTCGCGGATACAATTGACTGGCGAGCGGAAGACACGCGTCTCACCTCATCTAAAACGAAGCTAATGAGAAAAAGGTAATTCCCTAATTCCTATTATGTCATGAAGGCGACTAGATGAAAACCTACTCTTAAGAATAAAAATCTAATTACGCTATTAATGTTAAAATTAACATTGCTTCATGTCCCTTACTTAAAGGTGGGTGCGGGCGCGAGCGAGACGACATGCGCCCGCGGGCATTGCACTTAGTGCCGTTGTTTAGTCGCGGACTAGACGCGGACACGACGCGGGCGCTTCGGAGCTACTGCGCGGTAAAAGCGTCGCATCCACGACGTCTTGCGATATTTCCTCCGAACATTAACATTACAATAGGAAAATTTTAGGCTAAGTTATGTTGGTGCTTATTTATCTGAGTGTTTTTCTACTATTACATTACGAACGCAAAAACACTGCCCGTCATCTACATATATTTTATGTATTGCTGATGATTTGTAATAAGGTATTTTTAATTTATTAAAAAATTTACCCTAGCTAAAACGGCTACATTATGTTTTACTGTACAACGAAGATCTTAAAATTAAATAAACTAAAATTCAATAAGTACGTTTCTTTTCTCTATTAATTTGTATGTAATCCGTCCGCGAACAAGCGTCGAAACTTTCGCAATCTGTATTACTATATATTGAAAATTCTTACAATTTATTAAAAAGTTACACTCACAATAACGATTAATTAATTATTATATTAATAATGTTAAAGTTAACTAAACAACGACTGCATCTACTATCACACATTCGAAAGTTTAAAACAATTTTACAAATTGTAATAGAACATTATTGCTAGGGCGACGTCACGCGGCGTGATATGATGGGCGGCGGCGGCGGCGGTAGCGGCGGCGGCAGCGGCGACTGGCGCGGTGCACTCCGCTCAAACGCAAACCTGACACCGGCCAACCCTTATGAGTCTTCTCAGACTCACATTCGCATGCAACTCGATACAGGTGTCCATTTTTCGGTAATTCGATTGTCGACAATCGATTGCCCGCGCTTCACTAGTTAGCGATAACGATCTACCGCGCTTCTCTATTTAGCGGTAATACATCGCGCGCGCGTCACTAGTTTGGTGGTAATACATCGACCTCGCGTCACTAGTTTTCGGTAATAGATCGACCACGCGTCACTAGTTTGGCGACAATCGATTGGCCGCGCGTCACTAGATGGCGCAATACGTACGACTACAATCAATTTAAACACGGCAGTTTCTAAGTTGTAACATAAATTAGGGCTGCCACCGTTCCGAATCGGTAATAAAAAATTTAAGTAATAATGCCCGACTAAGCTCTCACAAGAAACTACTCGATGACGAAGGCAGAACTAATTTTCCAAATGTTAATGATTACAATAAACAAAAATATAAGGAGGGCTTGGAACTTGAAAACAAGACTAAGACAAATTAGTTATAAAAGAAAACAAGAACTAAGCTTGATAATGTAAACACGCTACTTATTAAATTAGGAAGGTGGCAGCCCTATTGATAATACATTTTAACACATGTATGTTGTTACGATTATTTGAACTCACTATACTGTATCACAGTGATGTTATCAAACGGATATCATACTATGATTATATACGAAGCTTAGTCAATGTAGCTCGAAACGTTTTACTATATATATCTAGTATCGACGTATCTGTCTGTATGTAACAGTACAATGTTAATAGCTGCAGCAACAAGTCATATATCTGTTAACATATTGAAAAGTATGATCTACGAATTTATTAAGTTATAATATTGAGAAATACCTACAATTATAAATAAAGTCGATGCAACCATTATTTAAATGTTATCATGATTTTAATAAATAAATGCATATGAAAATTATCGTAAAGTAATAAAAATCATAAAAAATTATAGGTTACAACGACTTTTAAACATTACAAAAAAAAGGAATTAACATCAGAACACAAAATTCCTATAAATAAATTTTTACATAAAATAAATAAACTACCACGAAAGCGAAACCTGAAATGAACATAATATGGATTTATTTATTCTAGCGAACAATTTTGTACTTAGGCTTACAGCTCGAAATCAAATTTAACGTAAAACATTTCTTATACTTCGCGTCGCTTTCGGTTCGCTTTCGCGGCATTTAGTATGCTACAATATTCGACAAAAAAAATACAAAAAATTAAAATTATTAAAGTTTTAAAGGGAAAATATTTAATACAATTATAACCTTAAATATATAATAATCGAGTTGGAATGATATACATTGTGTGTGAATGATTCGCTGGGCTCTGGTGTTGTAGCCACACAGGCTGGGGGCGCAGGCACATGAATGCAACATATTCTTTGCTTGATTGTCCTGGAAACATATATAAGATATTTAAGCTACATACAGTAACCTTTAACAGAATTATAACATGTCAAGAATATTTAAAGAGATGTTTTTAACGTAACAGAATTTTACTTTACGTAGATTTTGCCCCCTCCCACTTAAAATTAAGTAATTTAGACACCCTCCCCCCTCTTACAAAGATAAACATTATTAATAAGTACGTCCTTTTACATAACGTCTAGTAATAAATGCCAGTTTTTGGACTCTTCCAAATTGTATATACATCTATGGTTCCCAGTTTAACATAAGTTGGAATAAATTTCAGTAATCAGGACACACTGTATATGAGAATATATTCAATAAATTTTATATGATCATGCCATTGCCAGATTGTAATTCCTCTATGTTAGCCATGCTGTTGTTTACTTACAGTCAAATTGTGCGGTACGATTTATATATTCATTTAGATTAAATTTTTATATGTATTAACAGAGTAGAGACATATTTGTAAATCGAAATGTTACGCCTACAAAAATATACCTTCACGACAGTATCCATGGCCGCCTTACTCATTTGCTACCTTTTTCTATTAAAAAAAAAACAATAGAATCTATGGATTTTGATACTCCTGGGAAAAAGTAATAGGTTTCCTATCCTCCCCTGCCCTGCACTGCTTTAAGAACACGTAAAAATACTAAGTTCGGAATTAAAATACAATTTTAGCTAAATAACATAATTATTATTTAAAATACTAGTTTGTCTTTGTTTTAATTTTTTCGTTACTAATAATAGAACCATAAACAAGTTTTTTTTTAAATTAAATATTACTAAAATCTATGATTTTTAATAGTAAACTAGACGGACCTTTTAATTAATTCAAGACCGGTTAATACTTTGTACTTAATATATTTGACTATTGCAAAGCTTGTTTAGTTTTTGTCTTGTTATATTGTTTGCGTATTATATATTAAGTCTAATGTAAGTAAATACTGCGTGTATATATTGCAGTGATGCTGAAGCTATTTAATATTACTTCTATTTACTATAGATATTATTAATAATTATTATATAGTTAATATTTTATTTGTCTAAATAATTGGTCCAATAATGCTTTTCGAATCTAGTTGTATATAATATATAATAAAATATATAAAAGTAAATAATAGTAGTTTAAGAGTTAAAATAGAAGAAAAACTTAAAAATAGGAGTGCGGAAGAAAGATAGGTGCTTAAAATCTATTAGTGAGAAAAATAGGGGTGTCCAATTTTAGATTTTTTAAGGTTAAGGATATAAGAAAAAAAAACTTATGGTTTTTAATTTTAAAAGCGGTTCGGTTTTAGGATAAGTAATTGAATAATTGGACAGATTCCCCTTACACATTGTAAAAGTAATGATAAATAGAACATCAGAATTATCCAAAGAAAATTACTAACAACCTTACAGTGCCTTATATTCATATTAAATCTATACTATTATATATATCTAGCTTATGTTACAGTACATATATAAAATTGGTAAACTCTGATGTCACAAAAATATTATACAACAATTTCCAATGTATTTTTTTTAATTGATATCTTTAATACAATTTGTATATCTTTATTTATCATCACTTGAATAATCTTCATGCAAAAGTTTAAATCTATATGTCATATGTATATATTCTTAATGATTAGCTTTATGACAATATGATGTAAAAATTATGAAAGCATCCATTTCTTTGATGAATGTTCGTGATAAATGCTTTTTTTCCAATAATCTTTAAATTGAATTAAATATTTATATCACGTAATCAAAGCACTGAAATAGGTCATAAAAAGACACGAGAGAAGAAATAAAAAGAGAAGGTAAAAATCAAGTGATTTTTGTTAATTACCAATTTATACTTTTTGGAATATTTGCAGTGATTTAAAATAAAATAGGTTATAAAATAAATGAAGAAAGAAAAGAGATGAAATGCTATCCAATTTTAAATTAACTATTCGAACACGAAACACGAATTTTATAAAAATATTAATATCAAACTCTCATAAAAACCTCAATTTACTATAAACTTATTTCCGTAATGTGCTTGCATACCTAAAAAGTTGAAAATCTAAAATACTTTAAAGGCAAAACTCCTATTATATAATATCATGTATAAGACAATGTTTTGTATTGCGCATGCATTCATCGTTTTACAATGAGCTGCCTGAGTCATGAATTCGTAAAGCAATTTGATACCTATCGGCAACTACTATGACTCGTATTATCTATCTATGATGACTATTGAAGCCCAACTGACGGTCAAACCTGGCCGAGTTGTTTAGAAGAACGTGTTATACACGTATCCGGTCGCGATCAGGCCGAGCACGAGGAGGCACAGCATGATCATAATCTTCTTCTGCATAAAGGAAATAATATATTAGTCTATGATAAAAGACCGGCGAGCTAACATACCATATCGTATGGTGTTAGTTCGCCGTTGGTACGAAGTTACCTTTGAGCATAGAGCGCGGTGTGGGCCAGGACCAGGCTCAGCCGGTGAACTGACTGGACACGTAGCCGACCAGGATCAGCCCAAGTATCAGCAGACACACTAGGATCATGATCTTCTTCTGTGCTTGTCGGGTGCCCATGCAACAGTACTCTTTACACTTGTCCTCGGCAACTAACGCCGATATACCTCCATAGTTTTTTTTATAATTTAAATTTTAACATATTTATATGGAATGATTATAATAATTAAATACAATAAAATTAAATTATCTCTAGCTGATATAACAAATAAATATGACAAAGGAATTTGCAATGTGGCTTCGTATTTATAGGGTGTTGGTGCGTTATTTGCCTTACCGGGTCGTTAAAAGGTGTTTAAATAAAAATTAATAAAATAAAATAAATAAATGTAATTTTTTTTAAAGTATTTTTAAACATATTTACATTGTGAGTAAATTTTAAAAATATACAATTGTAAACATTCCTAATTTAAATAAAACTAATCATATTGATTTTTGCGCATTTGACTTATTCAAATTGAATTTTTAGGTCTGTAATCTTAAACTAAACAAGATATTAAGCACCTCATTCTGACCCTTATTTACATGAAAATAATTTTAGTAACAATAAAAATAAAATCAATACAATTAGTTTTAATCTATCGTAATATTCGCGTTAATAAAAGAAATAAATTTGTAACTCGTTCCCATCACATTGATAGGTTCAAATGAGAACTTAACGATACTTAATTAAAATAAAAAAAAAAACCTCCGCCGGGTTTACATAGTTAAGTAATAATTAATAATGAAAATGGCATTAAATTATAATTCACAGTCTTTTAATTAAATACATAAGTGCTATTGTTGCTGCTTACACAGATGCTGTAGTGAAATTGGAAATTACGATAATAACAATTAAAAAGTTCTAAAATGATTTAATAATATTTGTTTTTCATTAAATAAATTAATATATCAAAAATGTATAAAATGCCTGTGTAATTTGTTTAGTATAAACATTTAATAATAAAAAAAAATTAAACGTAATCTGTTAAATTAAAACATCATACTGTATTTAATGTGTAATAATCATTAAAAATCTCTAAATAATTGATTATATAAATAATTCAACATGAACAAATAATGATTCAAAGTATAATTGTATATTATGTATATATTGTTATATAAAATGCTGACAATAAATGCACACAATATGTTTTAACATTCAAAATATATGAATATTAAATCTAGATATATCATTGAACAAATTATCATAAACAAAACGTAAGTACTATGTAAAATAATTGTTTAGGGGGCGTCCATAAGTAACGTAAGGTGATTTTTTTTTAATTTTCTGCACCTCCCACCCCCCTTGGTGAAATGTCCTGAGATCTTATTCAACCTCCTCCCCCATACAACAATCTCACGTGAGATTTTTCAAAATGTGAGTTTCTTACGTAAACGCGTTGGATTGTGATTGTAAAAAGAAAAAAAAAATGCTTCGTGCTTTAGCTTTTTTTGTTTCAATCAGAAAAAATATTGCATGATATTTGCCGAGACCCCCCTCTCTCCAACGTAAGATTAGATGAGATTTGACTCGGCCCCCCTCCCCCTTTAACACCTCACATTATTTATGGACGCCCCCTTATATTTAACATATTAAATAAAGAAATCAATAAACAATAAGTTAGCAATTTTGTTGTTTAAAGTCTAAGCAAATACTGGGCGCAACATTAGTAACAATTAATTAGGAAAAGCTTATAGTTTATGAAAAAATAACAACTAAGATTTGTGCTATATAACAAATATATCTAGTATTTGTACTATGCATGCACAATAACATAACACCTAAAATCCGTTGCTTGCATCTCACTTGTCCCGAGTCTTTCACACCTACATTCACTTAGTTTCTTTACATTTTAAAAAGCGCTTCTGCGACGTCATTACATTGGACTCATGTTATTGTGCATGAGTAGTGATACTTTTAAATGTCACATTTTATAAATTCCAGATCACTATTAACAATTAATATTTTGTGTACTTTAATTTCGGTGCCCTATTTTGAGCGGAGCGCATAAATTTCATTTCAAATAATTGTGTGACGTAATATGTCAATATAGTGAGTTTCCACTGACGATAAACGTGGACAAAAACATACAGTCATCGCATTCATTCTATTTGAAAACAAAAGAGACAATAACATGTTTCATTAAATTACAATAAGAGTTTGATCATATCAGTTTGAACTATGGAGCCTCAATACGTAATCTAAAAACATCCAAATTATCCATCATATCTTTTAAATATTGATCTACTATCACTCCTTTCATTATCATTGCCTGAACATATACAACCGTTAGGAAGAAAATCCGACACTGTGCCGGTGTACTGGCGCAACACTAGCCTTCCTAAAATGTCGATATCTATGTCCCCTCACTAATCATTCTGACACTTTGTAATGAAAACGCGCCATTCGCGCCAAAGGATTCAAACTAATAATGTCTAAAACAAAAAAGTACAGAATCGCATATAATCAATGATGAAACCCAATGAAAGAGACATTACTATCGCGTTAAGTAGTCACTTCATTAACAAAGAAAATGACATAAAAGTTGAAAAAATAACAAGATTTTTTCACTACAAGCGTATCTTAATACGACATTTACTGGGGGGCGCTAGTGTGCTAAGATATTTAAGTTTGACTTATGCCCACTACAGCTATCATTGTCGGTCTTCATATTTAAATACATTCAATCATCCATAAACACTTTCAATCATGCCATAACTAATAATTTATATACAAAGACAGTAAAATAACTCTCCTTAGTATACACAACAGGTAACACCAGAATTATTTCTTACATCTAAAGCACAATCTATTTATTGCACTTCATACATATTGTCTTATTTGCAATTGCCGTACTCAGAGATCTAAGGGTTTCCCTTAATATAGATTTAGTGTAGTCTACACTAAATAGTGTATTAACTGAGTACAGATAATAATGACACCTCAAAGCTAAAGACATTAAAATGCATGCTTACTCTATATAAACAATTCGTTTTTTCTTTCTTCTTATATTTTTAATAAATCACTGGTACTTTGTATACGACGCAGCTAATTATGTAATATCAATACATAACATTTAATATAACTGTAAGATTATATTAATACAAATAAGAATAAATAAGTTAATTATAATTACAAAAGTATTAGCTGTTTGTCTGTTTATTTCCGACAGTAAGAACAGCAAAAAAAAAAGTTAATTCGAGGAACAAGGTTTTGTTCTCAAGAAAATTAAAAATATTTTTCTATATTTCTGTATCCTAGCTTGTAACATTACAGTGTATTGTGGAAACAAGCATTGCAAATGGATATAATTTTTTTCTTCATCAAATTATAAACGTCATTGTACAGACGATATCACTTTGTGAAATTCTTCTATGTTTTTTTTTCTCTAAATTCTAGAACGATACAAATTCATACACACAAGTAGAGATGTAACATTACATTATGCAATATTTGTTTCCACGTTAACAACACGCTTTCGTGTTAGCGTATTCTTTTAACATATTAATCCACGGAGTAGAAAAGTAAGCATAACAATTCCAATAATTATTTCGTTATGCAACCGCGTGAGATAATCAAAGCCGAAAAGTAATGCAAAATGTAATTGTTAATTAAATAGCAATGTTCTGCATTGTTCCCTCGCTTCGTTTCGTCAAAACGTATTCTTCTTTCGTTGTTTACGACAGGACGACCGCGAGTACAATTATTAATATAACCAGCGTAACAGACAGGCATATTATGATGAAGATTTTTTTCTGTAATGATAAAAGGAAAAAATAAAAATAAAATGAAACCTCTGCAATTGTATAGTCTGTGGTTTGATCTTAAAAAAATGTTATGCTCACTAAATGTAAAACAAATTACAATTTCAATGTAATCATACGAAATTGAAAAGTATTTCTGAATGGTTTCAACAATTTCGAAAAAAAAAACTGAATGAATCACATCAAAAACTATTATAAAGTACATAACTTAATAAAAATATTGAAGCGGTATATAAATCCCATTTGCCCGCAAAACCAAAGCATTCCGCGAATACAACAAACAACAAGAGCCACATAACATATATATATATATACAATTAGTATGCGTGTGCATTGTGACAAAGCCACAGACAACCAGTTAACGTCACTCTCTAGTTTTTTTAATCTAGTAAAAAAAAACACGATTAGATTTGCAAAATCAAAAATAGAAGAACGTAATTACAGAATATGTAACATAATGTTTGATTTTATTCATCATTCTATTCGTTCGTTCTATTACAGGAACATTGAACACTATTGTAATAATTTTTAAAAGTAGAAATGCAATATTATGCCTTTTTCCATATATTTTTGAGTTGTTCTTGTCACTTCAATTGTTAATAGTTTGAAATACATGCATAAGTAGATAAAAAAATTTAGTTCATGCACTTTTATAGCACAATTCAATTGAGGAAAGTTAAATAATATTACGACAAGAAAAAATGTGTGTTACTTGATTATCTATTCATATAAAGATAAATTATTTTAAACCTTCCCTTAAAAGTTTATAAATCGAACATTTGAACAGAATAGATTAAAATCCAAGCCTTTTCCAAAGATGTGCTTTATAGAATTTTGTATTTTAGTAAGTGGTATACATTGTTATATTTTACTGAAGATGCTTTATTTGGATATAGTAATGTCATTATTTGTAATGACAGATTAATAAGTTTGACCGTAACATGTGCCAAGTGGGTAGATTACCTTCCTCGCTTGCTGTGCCCAGTGGTGGGCTCGCTCCAGTTCCTTGTGGCCTGAATCTACGTAGTCTGTGGTCTCCGTGACGTGGTACTCAATTCGATCTATGAGTTCGCCCTGCTCGTGCTAAGGTTCACCACTGGGAGGGAAGGGACCCACGATCCTTACACCGCCGATTGGTTCATACGGGTTTAGAACGCTTAAGCAATACACCTAAGACCGGGGTATGTTTAGTTTATTATTCCCGAAAACCCCGTTATATCCATAAGTACAAGTGAGTTAAATTGTAAAAACAGAAGTTGATATTTTTTGTAGATTAAATACATATTTTTGTTGTTACAATAGTTGAAATTTGTTACATAGTATATAAGATTCGAAGTACATAGATAAGACATAACAAACATAACAAAATAAGAAGAGGCAAATTACGCACACACCAAAACCAAAGTTAAATCAGTGACACATAGATAGTATGTAAGAGTAAGAAGCCCATTACCATCCAGTGTTAGTTTGAGAGACATGAACAGTTAGTATGGTTACATATAAAGCGAAAATCGTGGATGCACACGTGTTACTAAATTAATAAAGGTTTAGGTAAAAATGGTGTGAACCAATCACCGGATCGTCAACGTAAACAAAATACGGGATTGACAAGAACGTGTCGAACAAAATATGATACAGGAAATGGACGTAGGAAAGGGTTCGGGAGCGGGCAGGGGAGAGACAAACAAAACAAAACGCATTAGCAACGAATGATCCGACGTTGGAATGTAAAACTCACCCGTCGGGCTTTGCTCTGATACTTTAGTGCCTTCTTTGTGTCTTGTGTCGCAGTTTGGACATAGTCCACCGCGTGCTCAACATGATACTCAATGCGGTCGATCATTTCACCCTGTATCCATACACGCTTCGTTAACATTACTACTGATGTATGGCCCTTTATTGGTAATCTCCGTATAATACACAATGGTGCATACGGTAACGTGTCAAACCCTTAATTACCTTCCCCTTCGCTTCTTTCATATCATAGATCATTTAACATTGCATTGGCAAAAACTTATATAGCAATGGTTCACTTTACTCATCGAACAGAGATCAAAACAGATCGATGGTGATGGTAGACCTTCCATAAAACTAATCTATCATCAAGATAGTGGTCTACTGAAGACAAAGGGAGATTAAGAGTGAAACCATACCGTAACTTAAATGTGGTATCACCCTATTTACGTTCAGTAGTGGAATAAATGTGTGTTGTATATAAGTAAGTGTTATGACCTGACTCTCGACGAGCATGGCCATGTCCATGAACATGTCGTGCAGCTCGCGGATTGAAGTCTCCAGCTTGATGATGTCGGCGTGCCGCGCTTCGATGTCCGCCAGCGTCTGCTTCGCTTGCTGCGTTTCCATTATTATCTGGAAACACATACCCATACTATTAAATATAGATCTTGATTAGGAATACATTTATCGAAATTCTTAAAAATATTGATAGAAAAAAGGAAAAACAATGTACTGTTCACAAGTACACAATAAGAAGGGAAGGCCATTCCATTCCGGGAAGTCGATTTCTCATTTTGATATTGTTTAATGAACCGTACGCTGCGGTAACGGAAACAAATAAAGCATTGACTTTATTTTAAGATTTGGCAATGTTACAACACTCGCTCTTTGTGACTTATTGACATATCTGTATTTTATATTCAACTTAAATTACATTTCTTTGTATCAATAACTCCTGTCTCCTATCTGGAAATGAATACATATTAAATACATATATTGAAATATAACCTGATATGATCTAACCTGCATTAGATTCGATAAACCTGGCTTTATTTAACTTAAATAATTATTTTTTAAAAAAAGTGGGCAAGACGGAATATATGAAAAGAATTGACGTAAACAAGTCTAATGTTAAATGGAATCAATTCTACTTTAGTCAGTCATTAGTGTCGTATTAGAAGATTCAAATTTTATGTCAGCTCTTGCTTAGCTTTATTGCGTGTTAAGGTTTATGCGTGACTAAAATACTTACACCTTGCGTGAACACGGCGGGGTTGTCCTGTTCAAGCATGGCCTCGAGTTCATCATCAGTAGTAGCTCGGCCGGTGATCTCGAGCTGTCGCAGTATCCGGTTCTTACAGCGGTCCCTGTAGTCGGTCTGCGTGCGATTGTACTCCGTCATCACCTCGACGAACTTACGTGACAACGTCGAGTGCTGCGTCTTTCTTATCCTGAGATCCGCAGACGATTTGTTCGAGTGCTCCTCCTGCTCGATGTTCTGCTCTATATCTGTGGATTGTTTGTGACAAATCTATTTATAACACGAAATACATAATGACTAGCAAGTAGCTTATGTTTTAAACTATCATATGAAATTAACGCAATTTATTAGCTCTTCTCATGTACAATAAGGTAATCACAAGTCCTTATCATAAAGTTATTTCAGGCTATGGCTCAATTCGGGGAAAAGGAAAAAAAAACGGTTTATATCTTTAAGAAATAATGGTTTATCACATCAAGCAAAATAAAAGAGGATTACAAAACGGGATCACATTGAAAGCGAACAATGTAAGCTCTTTACAAATTAAATTTATCTTCAAGAGCGCAGTGAAATTTAAGGAGAGAAGGATATAAAATTGCTATACAATGTCTATATGTAAGGTATTTTATCGCTCCTTTAAACATCGCAGTAGACAGGCTTAAGAGAGTTCTGTTCAGCCGACCGTCCACCGATAAGGCGGATTGTTATCGATAATGGAAAAATCACTTACGTTTTAACTTTCCTCTAACTTTGTTGGCAGTTTTCTTAATATCAGCCATGAGATCTTCTAATTCGTGCTTTGTTTCTGAAAATAAAGAAACAGTGTATATGAATAAAAAATTCATATTTATAAAATACGGACCTATATTTAAAAAAAAAAGTTATAGAAAATTAGGAAATAGCGGTTTCAATACATAATTAAACTTTATGTTACACTAACTGTCGCCCGCGACTCTTTTCGCGCGAAATTAAAAAAAAAAAACAAAAGTACCCCATGTTTTTTTCCAGACTATGTTCTATATTTATGGAATATCCTTAAACAAACATCCATCCATTCATGTAGCCATTGGCATTTATAATACTAGTAAGAAGTAAGATTAAGCTACAAGGACTATATAAAAGTAGAAAAGTTTTAACGAAACCAAGAGCTTTTCAAATTATATCGTAATGCGGAAAATGTCACAAATGGAGTTCATATTTTAGAATTTAATTTGGTACGATGATTTGAAACCACGTTAATGAATTGTTTTAAACATTAATCATAGTTATTTCAAGTTCTGATTTAATTGTCTGAAAATTGTTTAGTCTTCCGCCCACATTGCTAGTCAGCTAGCCACATAAGTCACGGTATTTCCCATCTATCGTCATAGTAACACAACCTAAAGAAGTTCTGTTAAAAACACTAATAATTCAAATAGAATTTTAAAGTGAATATATGCGTAAGAAGTCATGGATTCCCTTCTAAATCAGATATTACAGCTTCGAATAAAATTGTATGTAAGATTAGTACTACTCACCTTCCGTATAGGATAAGATTATACTAAGAATTTTAATGTTAACAAATTATAAGAGTAACCTCTTTATTTTTCGAAAAAAAAATAATAATTTATACATACTAATATTATAAAGAGGAAAGATTTGATTCTTTGAATTAAATAACTTTCGAATCTACTGAACCGATTTGAGCAATTCCATCACTTTTGGAAAGTTACACTATGTCCAGGACATGGACTATATTGATAGCTACTTTTTCCTTTAATTCCGCCATTAAACAGCCAGTCTTACTAATATTTTAAATACGAATGTTGGGATAGATGAATGGTAGTTTGAAGGTATCTCCAGAACGGCTGAACGGATCTCGATGAAATTTGGCATAGATGTAGAACTTAGTCTGGAAAAACACGTATGCTATTAATTAAGTTTTTTTAATTCCTCGCGAACGGAGTTGTGGGCGACAGTTAGTATGAAATAAATCAAGTAACCAACAAGGTACCGTCTCGTTTCGTATCCCACGCATTCCCCGTAGAGCCATAACAAACGTTTATAAACTCGCAAATAAATTAACTGTTAATATTGTTACAGACGCTTCGATACAGAGAATACTAGAAGCTATTATAACATTGCAAACAAACGTGGGTGGAAACCCGAAGTTCCTAATAAATTTATAGGGGGTGGATAAATTTTCCCACGCAATTATATTGTGAAGGCGTTCAGTTATCTTAACATATCTTATTTATCTGTTACTATGGAAATATAAATATTATTTTAGGCCTTCAAACAAATGGAATCAAACACATATTTGACCAATTTGAAAGACATACATTCGTCAGTTTCATAACAACCCCTAATTTCATATTCTTTTAAAATCAACTGGCATTTTAAGCACCAATGTCCAATAAGTGGACATTGTTAGAATTACGAAACATAATTCAATTTAAGTGCTATTCATAAAATTATAATAGTAAGATTAAATTTCAAACAATTTATTATGAAATTTAAGATAGACACAATGCTAAATCCGATTAAAAGAGAGGCTTTTCATATGCAAACCACTCCGTATACCTTTTTATTATCGAAATCAATAAACAATACTTACAGTTATTTCTTTTCATTTTAACGTTTATTTTTAAACCTGTAAGCTTCAATAAGGTGGAAAATTTTATAATGCAGAAATCTTTGAATTCGAATTCAGCTTGATTGTCCATTGAGAAAAGCGGTTCGATAGTTGGCACGTGGCCAATGCACTAAAGGTATTCTAATACTCAGGTTACTTGAATAATAATATGAGGGCCATGATTCGAATTCTGTAATAAAAATAATCTAAATTGTGCAATGATCACTAAATCATTTTATTTCAAACATTTTAACTACGGAGTAAAGCATATTGAGGTTTACTTCACCATTTTTAAATCGATTTGGTTGAAAATCGTGTCACGTTTAATCGATAACCGAATCATTTGATCGAATCACTAAATTAGTTTTAAGCACACAGAAAATTTGTAGGCGGGAACAATTAATAAACATAGATTTTGTTCGTAATTGCAGATCAACAATAAGGTGGTAACATGGAGGATAAGCAATTTGATATTAAAACGTATGCAGGGGGTTGCGTTAACGAACCACGACTCTTTCTATCATGTTTCTCGTATCGCGCAAATTGCTATGTGGAGTAACCACCCTAATTATATCAAAAGTCTTTTACAACGTAACAAAATGAGGAAAATCATAGAGGCCGCAAGTACAGCACACGTGTATATTATTCGAGCGCAAACGTAATAAAGTAATATGTTACTTTATTACGTTTATATATTTACGTTTACGTATAAACATTATGTGATATATGTGCTGTCTTTATTATTTTGAATAATATATTTATTAAAAGTAATATTCAAAACAATGAAGGGTAAAAAAAAGCGTGATAATTTGGCAATTTAAATCCAGTAGACGTTCGTCTATTACTCACAATGGATCTCGTAAAAGAGCCTGACCCCGTTTTACTAAAATAAATTCTCGAATAATAGGGAAATGTAGTTATTGAAGAGTCTGCGCAACCCGCCGTACTTAACTTTCCTCATTGTCTGATGTAAATAGAAAAGGGGCATTCACAAAACATCTTGTAAATAGGGAGAAAAAACTTCCATAGTTTGAAGGCCATTCATCTCAAAATCGTTAGTAGAAGAATAAGACTATACTCATTCACACTGGATCACTGTAGTCGACTAGTCTAGTTACCCCTAAACGAGGGAGAGTACGAGCCCGTCCTTGGGCGTGTTGGAACTGAGAACGATGATAAATTGTAAAAAGCAAAAACTAATATTGTGTATTGCCACCTTTGTTACACTCTAATTTGATCACAAACTCTTAATAAGATAGGTGGGGGACAAAATAAATATTTACGAGCGGCAGATAAGAATTCATTCTCCAAACCGAAACTCTTTGTAAACAATTTAAAAGTTGTCTCGTCGCACGAACGCCTTCCGCGACTCGAATAGTTCCGCAAAGTAATTGAAGATCCGGTACATTTACAAAACTCCTTCGATCAACATTTTTTTAACTTTTAATTTGTTGCCAGTTGTAGCAAAATAATTTTAAAGATGAAGAATATTTAGTCTGTTTGACTAGACAAGCACAAAGAGAATTCTTTATCATTTTTTACCTAAGTGCATAGAGTTTATCAAATGTCGTATGAATTACTTAAGCATATTTACATTATCCATTTGCTCATATGCATCAATCCATCTCAGAGGATAACAATCTCACAAACAATTTAGACTATTCAGACAAGGCTCTCAGGCGGTGCAAAGCGACGCAATTAGTGAAGAGGCTTTGTACATACGCTGAATCGCTTCAATTCGGTTAAACACATAAACAAACAAACGAGCAAACAGCAGTGGAAAGCGCGCGGTTATGCCTATTACATACGCTTGTTACGATATCAAAACTTATGTGTTCCATTTACTCCGAATAAACAATTAAATTTACATATTAGTAATTACTATAAGTACATTTGTAATGCTACAATTTTAATTGCAAATTATTGACAGATGAAATATAAAAGTGTATACATTGAAGGACCTATAACAATAGATTAGATTCATATGGAAATATACTATGAATTATAGCACTTTCATGAGACAAGTCGACGTATACAGCCATACTTCATTCCATCACATCCCGACAGACGTCAGGGCAGGCAAATGAGGAAATAAATAATGCAAGAGACGGGAAGCAGCTTCCCTTTGTGCAAATGTTAATATTGCGCTAGCAAATCTGAATATAGCTGTGAGTCATTTTATATTTATATATGTATACAATTAATAAAAATAGAGTGCTGTAGGTTATATGAAAAACATAATGTTTCGTGTACGTGAGGAATTTGCTTTACTTATATGGTATGTCTATCTGTTCCCAAGCTACGTTTGTTGCTGGCTGCTTGGGCCAATTTTGACAAGACTTTCACTGAAAAGTAGCTGATATTTGCTGGCATATAAGTTTTTTTTTAATTAAGACATACCAATTTAATGCAGGTAATTTACAGTCAGAAATATACAACATTCGGACAAATGATACATTGCAGCAATACTTCAAATAGATTCATGATTGATTACAGTCGGTTTGCTCCACACCATAACATGTTATTCGAATTTAGCACAGTTAGTTAATTTCCGTGACATGTAATACATTACCGACTTAATAGTGTCAACCGACTACTTGACCCAGTTATGTGCAGCAACGAACATATTACAATGGGACTGAATAGTTAAAGTAAAGAGTTTTTAATATGGATATGGATGTACTTAATGGATATTCGTTGCACAAATATAATAATTTGGGGGGGAGGGAATATTATTTATTAGCTTTCGCTCGCGGCTCCGTCCGCGGGGGTTAAAAAATAAATAGTAGCCGATTCTCAGACATACAGAACTTTATATAAGATAATCATTAATAATCTGTTATTCACACACAATTATCTTTTATATTTTTTAATTTTAGGACAAGCTTACCTTATCTATGCATTCATCGTAAGAAACTATTTCTCTCAAAATCTCAGCCACAAAACCTACCGGATGTATCTTTGACCATGTCATTAAATATAAAATCTTTTATCAGCTTAATTATGCGTATTACGATTTGTGTGATGTTGAATGGAACAGCAATGCGAGTGCGACCCTAGTCAAATAACAAATTAATACACTAATGATGTTCCAATCCGCCAAAGTTCCAATTGCGAATATAATTAAACTCCATTGTTTTGAAATTATCGAAATCACATGTGAAAATCGACTGTGTCTATTTTTCGTTTAT